GGCGAAGCTTGTAATTGTTAGATCTAGGAATGTAACATGACTTTGCTTTAGTAGCAAGGGTGATGTCATGAAGGTCATGTGAGGAGGTACCGAAGGGTAGATTGGTCAGTTTGATATGAAAATCATTTCTAAGTTTTACCTGTTCAGGGGTAAAACTTGCAGGATAGACTCTAACATAATCATTGTATAGATATTTATACCATTGTTCATAGAATAATGCAATATCTTGTGGCTTTTCATAAGTGATATAGATATGCTGCTACAAATCCTGTGTTTGCATTCTAACATTGATGATATTACCATATTTGAAGAAGAAGGATTTAAGGGTGTCCTGTTTCATGTTAAAGTGAATGTCAGTGATATGCAAGATGCATTGCTGGAACTGCATATTTTCTTTGTATGTAGCATATTCAGTGAACTGTTCAATATCTAAATCAGAAATTTCAGGTTGATGGCGGTATACATTGCTTCTTTATTGTCGAAGTACAGAATTGCGGAATGAGTAAGGTTAACATGTTTAATATTAACCCCTTTGAATGCGTCAATACAAGCAAAATTTTCATTAATTGTTTTAATGTTAGTATTGGTAAAGAGTTCCTTGGCAGTTTTATTGATAGTAACAGCATAAGCAAAGGGTATCAGACGAGGAATAATGATAAAATTCTTGGTGTCAGTTTTCATGTTGTCTTCATTAACAGGAACAAATTCATCAGGATCAATAAGATTGGAAGGCAAAGTTTGATGAGAGCTATAGGTTTCAGATGTAATATATTCATCAGACAACAAGTCTTAGTAGGAGTGTTCAGCAGAGCTAGAGGCAATATTCTCTTATTGTTTTGCATTTTTGTCGGGTTTAGCAGAAACATTTTTGGTAGTAGCTTTTTTTCCAGAATTTCTAGTCATATTGTATTTGTAAAAATGGTTGTAAAACTTTAAACTCTTTCTTATAAATAAAGTTATTATAGTTGACAAGAGAAGTAATAAACTATCTAAATTGAGTTTTTTGTATTAAAAATAGTAAGGGCGAAACAATTTATTTTCTAAAAAATATTTTTTGAAAAATATTTTGGGAGAGAGAAAAAGAGTCCGATCGAAATCATTTCGACCATTAAAGGCTAAAGTTGCGAAATAGTCAAAATGACGTCATATCACATGATTTTTCATATTGAGACAAAACAATAAATAAAAGATATACAATCTTGGTCAATATCGCTCCGATTCGTATGAAACAACTACCATTCAATTCCTTGCGATTTGCCAAAATTATGAATAAATAAATTCTACTTTAAATAAAGGAGTCCAGATTTTGAAATACAATCGCGAATATCTCGAGATAGGCTGATCCAAATCAATGAATGTTAGCTCATTAGATTCATTTAGTCATAGGGAATCGAATGGTAGTTGTTTCATACGAATCGGTGTGATATTGACTGAGATCGTACATCTTTTTTTTTCTATATATAAAAAATCATGTGATATGACATAATTTCGACTATTTCGACTTTTCATTTCGATTTTGACCTCTAAAGTCAAAACATTTCGACTTTTGGGTTTTCATTTCGACTTCATGTATAGTAGAAGTAGAGGTAGAGGCAGCGGCAACTTTAAAGACAGTAGCAACTTTATTTGCAGCAATTTTGGAGGCAGCAGCAGTAACTTTATTGCAGCAACTTTGAGGGTAGCAGCAACAGCAGCTTTAGGGGCAGCAGCATCATTGGTGGTGATGATGGTGTCAGCAATAACATTGGTGATGGTGGTGTCATCATCATCTTTTATAATAATTATAAAATAAATAAAAAAAAGAAAAGAAATAACGATAAATTAAATTCAAATATTTTATCTTTTATTATTTTTTTAAAAAAAACCAATAAAATTACCCAAATTTTCATCATAAATTAAATGAAAATGTAGTGGTGATGATAGTGAAACAGGAGGAGAAGGAACATCATCTAAAAATAATTAAATAAAATAATAATAAAGATCAATTGATTAATAAGATCATATTTTTTTTTGTAAAAAGTTGGCTATATAATTCATACTATTTTTTTTTTCTTTTTTTTTGGGCAGGAAGTTGGTTATTATTATCATCATCATCATCGTAATTTTCTTTATTTTCTTTACGATTATTATAATAGCGACGATGTTGTAAGTATTTTTTAATACTTTCTTTTATTAACCAACTTCCCATTTCAACTTGAATTGTTGGATTTCTTTTTTTGAACTATTGTTACAATATAATAATTAATATTATCCTAACTGCT